ACATTTATGAATACTCAAGGGTGACTCAGAGAGATGCTGTCTCCTCACTCAGCTAGAACACAGCTCAGATGACATCTACCACACCGCATGTGGATGATGTTCCCACGTCTGTCTCCAGCACACGCAGTTTTAAGAACCAGAGGCTGCCATGTGGAACTCTAAATTCCCCCTATCTAGTCCAGTATCTGGCATGTATTAGGAGGTCATCAAATATTTCTTTACTAAACACGGAGTAAAATTTTAAACAGATTTTATACACAGGTGAACATTTTCTTTAATAAGAACCATATTTTTCTTCGATTAGTTGGAAAGATGGCTTCCAGGAAAAGAATATTTCTCAATAACCTAGCAGGGAGTAAGTAGCAAGGGTGCTATTTTAGGCAGAGTGGTCAGGGGGGCTTCCTTGAGGAGGTAGCATTGTTGAAAACACCTAAAGGTTGAGAAGTAATGAAATTCAGGTAATTGTGCAGGAAGAGATTCTAGGCCCCGAAGACAGGAGCATGCCTGGTGTGTTTGAGCAGCGCCAAGGCAGCCAGAGGCTAGATTAGGAGCACAGAATGCTAGAGGTGAGATCCAGGGAGAACAGGGGCCAGGTGGAGTAGGGAGGACTTCAGACTCAAGATTTAAGATTGGTGTTCTGATGGATACTTTTTAAGGGGCTGTTTTGGCTGATGTGTGGTTAAGTGACCATACAGAGGCAAGGACAGAATCCAGGGTCAGTTAAGGACCATTGCAATAATCTGGGTAAAAAAATAATAATCATCTAGATTTGGAACATGAGGGAAGCAGCTGAAGTGGTGAGATGTCATCATGTTCTGGTTCTATTTTAAAGGTGATGCCAAAAGGGCCTGCTGGAAAATGGGCACTAGGGAGTGTTAGGGAAGAGAGGAGTCAAGCGTGACCCTAAGGTTTTGGGCACTGACAGCTGGTGAAAGGGTGGGTTGTAAAGGGGTGTGGAAAAGAGAAGGAAATGTTATTTTGCAGCTTATGAGAATAAGTAAAAGCAGTGATGGCAAGACAGTAATATGTGCAGGTGGTGAATCCATATTTGATATTCTAGTGAAATTTTCTGCTTAGAAAATTTTCTGCTTAGAAAATTTTCTGCTTAGAAAATTTCAGGACATGGAACAGCTCAGCTTGAGGCTTGAAGAAAAAGTAAGATATCTACATCACTTGGGACCATCTCTCTTGTCTTGCTTAATTCCCTAGTAAATGTCTGTCGGACTCTGGCAGATTAGTATGACAGCATGCATATGTAATGGTGTGGTCTAAATGGGATGGACAGTGAGTGTGGTTGGGATTGGTGAGAGGGCATGGTCAAAAGTTGAGGTCTGGTGAGCAGTTGCACAGGAAGTCCTGAGGTGACTGGAAATGCAGATCGGACTGGAGAAAAGCCCAGAGCACATAGGAAGAGGGTAAGAGCATTGGCAAAGTAGGAGGGTGAAGCAACTGGTCATCTTCAAAGTGCCAAGGCCCAGGGTGTGGTTATGTCCTGTATGTGGGAGTAGTGACAGAACAGCACATGGTGTGATAGAATGAGATGGACCGAAGGGGAGGTAAACAGAACTGCGGCAAGTCAGTGACTCATGAGATCATGAGGTCTAATGGCTCCTCGCCAGGAATCATGAGCTCACTAAGGATGATCATGAGAGAGGACGAGGAAAGGAAGGCCATGCTGAAGCTGAGGGAGTTGCACAAAATAGTCCAGATACACACTGAGAAGATTACGGGAAAGGTGCCAGCCACTGACGAAAAAATAGCTTGATATCTGAAGAGAACGAAATATATTAGGAGAACATACTTAAAGCTAAGAAAAGATTGGTTGCAAAATTTCTTCAAATTTTAATACTGGAAGTGCACCTCCTAGCTTTGTGGTATGGTAAGTGGGTTAAAGTTAATTTATAATTAACCTAAAAAACGACAAAATTTTGTCTTACCATTTGTCTTAAAACTCAATTCTTGAAAACTTGTGAGTACCACAATTTTTTAAAACTAAAAAACTAATTACACTGACATTTCCAGTTCCTGGATCCTAGTTATCAAGGGTGTGTGTGTGTGTGTGTGTGTGTGTGTGTGTGTGTGTGTAATATAAACCAAAAAGAACCAGATCCGTTATCCACTAACACTTGATGAATTTAGGTGAAACTCGAACTTACGTATGGAAAATCCTAGAAAGATCTGGAGCTGGAGAAGAGGATTCTGCTTGTATTCCATGGGCTTACTATTCAACTGTGGATCAGGTTAAGGTAAAATGTAAATCATTTATGTTTTGTGACACTTCCCAAAATAGACACACAATTGAAGGAAGATGAGGTTAGCATTTTCCTGTGGTCTAATTCTGTTAAAATCCTAGGAAAATGGCTGCTGTGTAATCCACTTCAGCAAATATACTGCTATCTATCTATGACACACAAGACAAAAATCTGAAATTTCCTAATAAGATACAGCTCAAAGGTCTTTCAAGATCATATACGGGAAGTTTAGATTTTGTCTTGTGGGTCATAGGAAGCCACTGAAAAATTGACAAAGAATGGCAGTATAATTTGCATTTCAGATCATTCATTCTGGTGGAATGATGAAAGGCTTGGAGCGGGAAGAGACTGGAGGCTGAAAGGCCGTTGTAATACGTCTCAAGAACCTCTACTGTGTGGAGGGAGAAAAGAAATTGAATGAGTTATAGATAGGTGGGTGAACTTCCTGAGTGAACCAGGGGGAAGTAGCTCCTTGATAATTCAGAGTTCTGTCTCAAACAAATGAGTAAATCTGCTATTTGTGGTGTTATTATTATACATTTCACTCATCTATGGATTTTTTAGGGAGTGCCATAGTGCTTGGCTCACATTCAAGAGTTCATGAGTTTACGGAACAAACCAACACTGTTCATCTGGGATTCTTTTAAAATCACTGTTCATTAGCTGAGTTAAATTTTGCCTCTGCAGACATTTGTTATGTCAGCATCACTCACATGACCTACCTACTATTCAACATTGCTCCAATTTAACTACTTCAAGTGAAAAGTTACTAAATTGGCAGTACCACACTGGGCAAAGTCTACTACTTCAATCGGTCGCTCCAGAATTCCTGAGGCCATGGGCGTAAAGTCTCAGTTCTCTGAAATCTTGATCTACATCACAAGGGTTACTGAAGATTTTCCTTGTTTCTAGGATCTCTACAGTGGATTAATTGGCCCACTGATTGTTTGTCGAAAACATTACTTGAAAGTGTTCAATCCCAGGAAGAAACTGGAATTTGTCCTTCTGTTTCTAGTTTTTGATGAGAATGAATCTTGGTACTTAGATGACAACATCAAAACATATTCTGATCACCCTGAGAAAGTAAACAAAGATGATGAGGAATTCATAGAAAGCAATAAAATGCATGGTATGTTACATGATTCTAAAACCATTTTTCTACTTTTTTAATCCATTTCTCTTTCAAATAAAATTATATTGGATACTAATTTGTTTTGTCATAAACCACTTCTGCCTCACTTTGTATGTGAGGTAGAATTCTGTTCAAAACAAAAAGGGGACTATGTTCAAAATCATTTGCTAATTTATTTTCCAATTCCAAAATCTCATTTCCTTTTAAATAATCCTTGATTAAGATTAAGGCTTTTGGTGCAAAGTGCTAGAAAAGCAGTGTGTGATATTATTGACTTTAAAGTATCCATTTTCCTCATTTGTAGTAAAATAAATTTTATTACATCAAAAATATTCTTTACATTAACTTAATAATCATATTTTCTTTGAAAGAGCTATTGGTTTAAAATATCTTGAAAACTAATATAAAACCATATGCTTTCCCTAGCTATTAATGGAAGAATGTTTGGAAACCTACAAGGCCTCACAATGCATGTGGGAGATGAGGTCAACTGGTATCTTATGGGAATGGGCAATGAAATAGACTTACACACTGTACATTTTCATGGCCATAGCTTCCGATACAAGGTAAGAGCCATCCATGGCAATTACTCTTGCTCTATTTGAAAATGTTTTAATACAAGTGAAGGAAATATTTCCTCAGAGAAACTTATGAAAAATTGAAAGCTGCAAAGACTACAGCTGGCCCTTTGTATCTATGGATTCCCCATCCAGGATTCAATCATGAGGATTGAAAATATACAGGAAGGTCAAGTGCGGTGCCTCATGCCTGTAATCTCAGCACCCTGGGAGGCCGAGGCAGGTGGATCACCTGAGGTCAGGAGTTCGAAACCAGCCTGGCCAACATGGTGAAACCTGTTTCTACTAAAAATACAAAAATTAGCCAGGCATGGTGGCAGGCATGTGTAATCCCAGCTACTCGGGAGGTTGAGGCAGGAGAATTGCTTGAACCCAGGAGAAGGAGATTTCAGTGAGGCAAGATCGTGCCATTGCACTCTAGCCTGGGTGATGAGCAAAACTCCGTCTCAAAAAAAAAAAAAGAAAAAAGTCATCCTAGGAAAAAAAAAAAAAAAACAAACAAAAAAAAAAAAAAAAAAGAAAAAACATATATACAGGAAAAAAATTTCCACAAAGTTCCAAAAAGAAAAATTTGTATTTGTAGCACTGAGTACTACATTGAATCCATGCAAATGAAGAGATATGTAGGCATTGTATTAGGTATTATAATAATCTAGATATGATTTGAAGTATATGGAAGGATATGCATAAGTTATATGGAAATATGCCGTTTTACTTGAGCATCCATGGATTTCGGTATGGGGGCATTCCTGAAACCAATCCCCCATAGATACTGAGAGATGACTATAATAGGGCACAGTAATTTCAACTGACACACCAGCCTTTGTTACACCTTGAGCTCTTCCTGGGATTTGCATTTTTAACTGAATTTTCATGGAGTTCTGCTCACACATTCCTGAGTAAGGAAACTGAATGGAATTGCTAACAAAGAGGGTAGGAGTGTTCACATAATGATGGATGAGAGTAGAGACCGCAAGACTTTATCATAACCTTTGCCCTGTGTGTTCTAAGTTCTGTATCTCAAATGGCCCGAGATGAGCAAGATCAGTTGGGTGACAAGCAATTGGTCGATACATCTCAATCCTACTTCTATTCTTTCTCGGTGCTGATTTCAGCAGAAGCCAGTGGCCCTCCTGGAAATGCTTTTTCCTTATGCTTTGGGCTAATTTAGAAAATGCAGAAGTTATCAAAAAGCATAGTGCAGAAAGCCTGTTTTTTATCTCCATTTTGTTTTACATAGATATATAGTATTCTTAGAGGACTTTTAATTCTATCCTTGTAGAAATAGACTGCTGTCACCTACTTCAGGCACTGCCTGAAATGCCTCTGGTTTTTGTCTTTTTCATCAGCCTCCTTTTCTGCTTCCTTTGTTTATTTATTTATTTGAGACTGAGTCTCACTCTGTCACCCAGGCTGGAGTGCAGTGGTGCGATCTTGCCTCACTGCAACCTCCGTCTCCTAGGTTCAGGTAATTCTCCTGCCTCAGCCTCCCGAGTAGCTGGGACTACAGGCATATGCCACCATGCCTGGCTAATTTTTGTATTTTTAGTGGAGATGGGATTTCACCATATTGGCCAGGCTGGTCTTGAACTCCTGACCTTGTGGCCCGCCCACCTCGGCCTCCCAAAGTGGTGCAATTACAGGCGTGAGCCACTGCACCCGGCTACTTCACTTTTTTAACTTGATTTAAAGCTTCACAGACAAACTAGGATAGATTCAGGCAAAAGAGAGGCAAGGGCTGAAATGGGGCCACACCTGAGTGCCTTTTGTGTAGCTTAAATGCTATGACAAACAGGCAAACCAGAGTTGAGGTACAGGAGGTTTGTGGGTAGTCCTGATTGATGAATTCATTCTCATCACATCTTTCTTTCACACCCACTTGATGTGGATACCAAGAACTTAGTAAGAATACAAAAAACACATTTTACCGTTTGTATTAAACACAAAAACGAGCTCAATTATTGTAAACAGATTTATCCATCCTTTCAATATCCCTGAGCTGACCAATAACAAATGACATGAGTGAACTCTTGTATATAATATTATACATTATTTGTCATTTTTCTAATTAAGCACAGGGGCATTTATAGTTCTGATGTCTTTGACATTTTCCCTGGAACATACCAAACCCTAGAAATGTTTCCAAGAACACCTGGAATCTGGTTACTCCACTGCCATGTGACTGACCACATTCATGCTGGAATGGAAACAACTTACACCGTTCTACAAAATAAAGGTGAATATCCAGGTGGTAATTCTAGAAGCCATATATAGTAAATATAATCAAAGGAACTACTTTGCCTAAATACTTCCCCCAACATGAAGCATCAATATGAAGCATCTGTGAATCTGCTGCCCTGATTTCTTCTCTACCTCCAAAATGGATTTTTTTTTTTACTGCTAAATGGTGAGGGATACTGCTAATTTCCTGATAGCCAGTACTTTTAACAGCAACTGTCATTTCTAAGCTAATACAAATTGACACCCATTTGATGCAGTGTAATTATACCTAAAGCTGATATAAGGGAGGAGTCATGTTACTTATTTACCAAGAAACAAACCATTATTTACATAAGACACATTTAGAATCTAATTTCTTTCTTAACAAAAAGAATTTTTTTTTCTAGGTGGCACCCCTGTGTAAGAGAAGCCCAAGACAACCCCAAATAATATAGTTTCAAATACACAGTGTCTTTCTGTGCATCCAAGAAGGAGAGATCTTATTATTATTTGTGAAAGATGCAGGGAAGAAACAAAATTTAAATGTACTGCTCCCCAACCCGTGCAATAACCTTCCCCATGTGCAGATACACACACATACACTTGAAGAAAAATGAACAGTTTATTATTATTATTATTAATTATTATTATTATTATAAGATTCCTGCACTGTGACTGCAGGCTTTGGTCTTTCCTGGATCTTTTGAGTTGAGAATTGTTGTAATTGGAAATGGCAAACCCAACAGGAGGAAATTATGTAAAGAAAACCAATCTATGTCTTTCCTCCCCAAAATGGGGGGAAAAGGGAACATACAAATGAAGAAAATATAAATGTAAATATATTTCAAGATTAAGAAGCCCTGAAAGGTTAACCTTCAGAGCAAATGAAAAGTTTTAATTTCTGCTCCTGGGTCTTACACAAACAACTTATATCATGAAAAACTATTTCCATTAATGCTCTTTTTATTAGAGCAGTCACTGATAACACCAGAATATCAAAGGCTCACAGACAAGCCACTAAATTTAATGCCAATAACTTGAACAAGGTGAAAAGAGCCAAATATGATGAGAAAGAAAAATTTAACACTAGTAAACCATGTGGTTACATGTGCTTGCATGTAAACCACACAAAAGGGTGGTCCTGCTAGAAAAATAATGGCGAGTAAGGGAACATGGAGGCATTTGGGGAATGCATGTGTGCAAATGCCTGGCATGTGCAGTATGATACTACAGGGCAACCGTACACACACAGACACAGATTAGATTCCTCCTGTGTAACAACCATGAAAGAAGACGGAGATTACTGCTTGGTTAAGAAAGGGGAGATAGTTTTTAAAGCCATAGGAAAAATTACAGAACAAACAGCAAATATGGAGGGAAAATCAACACTGGACAAAAAATTAAAGAGAAACAACTTTTGCAAAGAGAAAAGGTATTGCATGAGACTGTAAGAAGCAGTAACGAATAAAAAAAGATAGTTTGAACTCTCTTTGGCCCATAAAATCAGTAGCCATGTTTATCAGTCTGAATTATCTTTACATAAGTCCAATCAAGCTTTGAGCAAGTTTACATTAATTAGGAGTCTTAGAAAAGCCTGCTTAGCTTTAAATTTCTAACAGGCAGGGACTATATATTCTGTATTCTGTATTTCTAGCTAAGTACCCAAATCCAGTACAATAGTTTGCTTACTGAATATATAACAACGTATTAATTCAATGAAGAGAAACTTTTGTAACTACTTTTTGACATAATTTCAGATTCCCATATACCTTTCACCGATTCCCCAAATGTTAATGATTTGTGCAGCCACACTGGCTTTCTCATTCTTTTTCCTATCTCCCTCTCATATTCACCCTCTATAAGTACACACACAGACATGTATAGATACATACAATTATCTTTCCTAAAAACAAGAATATTCTTGTACATGACAATACAATGATCAAAATCAGAAAATTAACAATGATTTAAAAAACGATAGATCTTTTTCAAATTTCACTAATAATCCTAATCATGTTCTTTATAGAAAAAGAAAATCCCGGATCACGTACTGTATTGTTGTCATGTCTTTTAAGTCTCCTTCTGAATGGTTCCTTAATACGGGGCAGTCACTTTGTAGAGTGTCCTTTCATTTGAGTTTGTCTAATGTTTCCTCATGATTAGATTTAGGTTCTGTACTTTTGAAGACTATCATGGCATGATGTTGTGTTTTTCTTAGTACACCATGTCAGGAGGCACAAGATAGTGATTGGTTCCATTACTGGTTATGTTAACTTCAGGCTTTGGTTAAGGTGGTGTCTGCCAAGTTTCTCCACTGTAAATGTATTCATGTTCCCTTTACAATTAATAAAGATCTTGTAGGAAGGAAAGTCATCTTTTTTTAAATAAAGCAGTAATAGAATGAGAAATTTTTAAACATATAAAAAGTAGAAAAATAAAAATGAATCAGGAATAAAGTAACAGTAAAAAATTGGAATACATTTAGAGAACCATCTACTAATTTTTAAACCATATATTATTTTTCATAACAGTCTTAAAATTTCTTTTTCTATAGAGACCAGTATGGCTGGATGAAATAAATTGGTGATAAGTGGAAAAAAGAGAAAAACCAATGATTCATAACAATGTATGTGAAAGTATAAAATAGAATGTTACTTTGGAATGACTATAAACATTAAAAAAAGACTGAAAACATACAACTTTGTGCATTTGTGGGGGAATACTCTTAACTTTTTGCAAATGGAAAGATCAACAGACTATATATCGATACAGGACTGGCACCTATATACTAGGTAATAAAATTGATTCAGACAGTCTCATCATATCACCACTATTAGGGTTTTATAAAACTGCATTTTAAAAAAGATCTATGACCAGATATTCTCCTGGGTGGTCCTAAAAGGAGCACCATTAAGGTTCATTGAAATGTTTTCAATCATTGCCTTCCCATCAATCCTTCTAACATGCTGTTGACATCACACCTAATATTTAGAGGGAATGGGAATGCAAGGTATGAGGGAAGGAAATAAAAATAAAATAGGATGACGCAAATCAGTTTTGTGAACCCTTGAAGAGATGGTCTAAAGGATGTTATCTGGAACTGGAGAAAAGCAGAGTTGAGAGACAATTCCATAGCTTAAATCCTGTTAAGGATAAACATCACCATTAGAAGAAAAGCTTCAAAATACACCTGTGGCAGATGTCACAGGAGTAGAATTTCTGCCCAGCCTTAACTGCATTCAAAGGATAACATCAATGAACTGAAGTTGAACTAAAAAATTTTTAAAGAAGTTAAAAAAGAAGGCACATGGTTGTGAATACAATGATATATTTCTTTATTTTCACATACACTGTAGCTAAAAGAGTAAGAGTACACATCAACAAAAAATGGAAACAAAGCTTTGGCTGAAAAAAGCACGCATTCGACAAATCATGTTAATAGCTAGACAAGAAGAAAGTTAGCTTTGTAAACGTTTACTTCATTTGATTCAAAGAAAAACAGTTTTCTTAAGGTAACAAGAAGAAAGCACGAGTTTTCTTAAGGTAACAAGAAAAGTAACCAAAAAAATGAGGTTTGAAATTTTTTACCACGGCAAAACATTAACATCTTTCTCAAAAGCATAGAGAAAACTGGAAAAATCAAGAAGATAAAATTCTGGGCCAGTTAGTGACATTGTTTCAAGCATATTTGCAAAACATTTCCTTAAAGTGTTCTTGGGACGAAAACGATTGTCATGTCTCCAATAACAGTGAACTGATGTTGTTCCTTGGAATAAAAGTCAATTTCTACCTTAAAAAAATATATGGTTTCTCTGAGGAATTCTTATGTCTTGAAGACTTTTTACATTCTAGACAATTAAACTGATTGAGGTCATAAATTAAGAAATGAATAGTCACCACTATATGGTAAGGTAAGCAGCCTGAAAGCACCTGCATCATACATGTGTGATATATATATTATATATATATTTTACATATATATATATATATATAAAATATATATATATGATTACATATACATGTGTGTGTAATCAAAATGCCTCTACTTGTACTTTGGCATTCAATTTTGGAAATTCAGTCTCAAATGCCATTATGGTATTTTTCAAATGATACCTTTAAGTCAATGATTTCTTTCGACTGCAATAGAGAAGGTATGGCAAGAAAAATGCTGCAGTACCATCTTCTGGGAGAACATTCATGAAATCCTTCAGTTCTAGTTCCACAGCAACAATTGACAATGTTTCTGTTTGTAGAAAAGAGTATCTGAGTTAGAACTGAAAGTCTGTCTTACATTCAATCTCTTCTTTCTTAACCAAACAATTAGAAGCCAGTTTAGGTAACAAAATGTTATAACTACAAATAAAAAAAGTCAATCTCTTAAATCCATAGGCTTCTTTATGATTTTAACTTATTTTTCCTTACTAGAATCCTTTGAAGTTTATTTTGTATCAGTCACATGAAATTTGGATTTATCATTTCATTACTCAATTACTGTATTATTTTGCAATCAACTTTCTACTATCCTCTAAAGAAAATTTCAATCATTTGAATATTTTTTTTTAACTCTAAGACTATACTAATGCTAATTCATAAAGATTGTTTGATAGGATAAGAAACACCAATGTTTTTCCAAATTAGTTCCTTTTTATAATATTTCATGTTGTTAATAAGCACAAATCTGTTTTCATGACCATTTACTTCTTTTTACCCCAAAGTCTGAAGGTGTTCTAATGAACATTTTTAATATTAAGGAACTTAACAGACATTTAAAAAAAAAAAAAAAAAAAAACATGCAATTTTACGATTCTAGTGCTTCTTAACAGATACATGCTGCCCTCTCCTGGGACAGAAGAGTGACAGCTATGAACAATGTCCCAATAAACATCCACTTGGTCTTACACCTCTATCCACGTGTCAGTGCCATTCCCTGTGTGATATTTGCATGCCCATCACTTACTCTATTTGCAGAGTAAGTGAAATATAAGATCCACTCAAAGTCATCTGTCCAATATGCAGCAATCGAAATCTTTCTTTACACAAAAGAATGACTGGCCTTTGTTGCTGAAGAGTTAATGAATGGAGCAGCAATGGCTCATAGAAAATATTCCTAGTTCTGGAAACCAGACACACTTGGGAAGAGATCCAGACTTTTCCATCTACTCAGTGACTTTAAGAGGGTCACCTTGCTGGTTGTGGTGGCTCATGTCTGTAATCTCAGCACTTTGGGAGGCTGAGGCGGGCAGATCACGAGGTCAAGAGATCTAGACAATCCTGGCCAACATGGTGAAACCCCGTCTCTACTAAAAATACAATAATTAGCTGGGTGTGGTGGTGTGTGCCTGTAATCCCATCTACTCAGGAGGCTGGGGAAGGTGAATGGCTTGAACCCAGGAGGCAGAAGTTGCAGTATGCTGAGATTGCACCACTGCACTCCAGCCTGGAGACAGCGAGATTCTGTCTCAAAAAAAAAAAAAAAAAAGAGCAAGTCACCTCATCTCTGAAGTCCTAGTTTCCTCATTTATAATGTAGTGGTACTATCTGCTAGCTTCCACAGTTCCTTTTAGTTCCAGCTTTTAGTTCAAAAGCTAAAATATAATAATGCACAGCTGACATCAAATCAGACCTTAATAAAAGCAACTACTAACTAGTTTGCAAAATCTATGTGAAAAATATGTATTATTGATGTTTTCCTATCAAACCAGTGTACTAACCTAAATGTGGAGCCTTTAAGTAGTATCTTAGAAACAAAAAAATTATTGGAGAGCTAGTGTAGAGTTGTTATAGTTAACAAAAATCTCACAACTTCCCAGTTCTTCTCTTCTCCCAAATAAGGAGGGGCTAATACAGGTTATCACTCCAAGAACAAGGTCAATATCTTAAATTCATAGAGTCCTTTAAAAATTAATATAGTGCTTTCATATATAACTTCTCTTTAATTCCTTCTAGAATCCTTTGAGGTTTTTATTTATTCAATCCAAGCCGCATCCCAAACAGAGTAAACTAATGGGTATTGTCTGATTTAGAGTTGGAAAAATTGAGGCTATGAGAAGGTTAAAATTACTTGCTTTACTCCACTCGCCAGCTACCCATGTCTACAAGTATTGTATAAATGATCTATCTAAATGTAAATCTGTACAATTAAAATCCTCCAGCATGTCTAAAAAATATTGGTCAAAGGTTGAAAATAGTTATTTCTGGATGGTGGGATTTTAAATGATTTTTAAACTTTATTTTTATAATTTACTACAGTACTAGAATCTTTAAAAATAAGGATGGTTCACTACAAAAACAGTACTGAATATTTATTTCCTTAAACAAACAACCCATCCACTAACCCCTGTTTTAATGGTTCTGCATTAGTGTGGCAGTTGTCAACCAGGACAATTTTGTCCCAAAGTAGACATCTGGCAAAATCTGGAGCCAATTTTGTTTGTTATAACTGGGGTAGTATTATTGGCATCTAATGAGTAGAGACCAGGGATACTGTTTAATACCCTAAAATGCATAGGGGAAACTCCCATGCACATGGATCATTATCTGGTCCAAAATGTCAACAGTGCCAAGGTTGAGAAACGCAGCATTAGAGAGATAAGAAATCCAAGCTCCTAAACATATAAGTCCCTGAACTCCATTTCCAACCTTACCTTCTTGCAATTTTGCCTAACATTTAACTTTTGATTTAGTCCTGAACTTCTCATTAGTCTCACGACATTAGAAAACTGGCTTGCTCTAGGTCACTTAGTCGGTAGCAGACCTGGAACTCAGTTCCAATTCTCCAGATCCCAATCCAGGGCTCTTCTCAGTGTACAACTATCAAGAAAAAGCCCTCCTGTGAAATGAACTTAAAGTTCTTCAGCTGTCTTCCTTTCTAATCAATGAACAGTTACAGGATGCTTCCTATAGGAGAGGCATATTGCTGGTAAGGAAGGTGTAATGTGAAAAATGAATAAAACACTATGCCAGCTCTTCAGGTATTACAGTCTAATAAAGGTAAATCACACATGGCACTTAGTACCATTAGCCTCTCCCCCATACACACACACACGTGTATGCACACAAATATATTTCGAAGACAGAGAAAAATACAACATTTGGAGGAATGATTATGGGTGAGTTGGGGTGTGTGTGGATGTGGATCAGAAAAAGAGGAAGAAAATCTGATTAAGATAATGATGATACTGAGGTGTAAAGATGTGGATGCCTGCACTAGAAAGTGCTCCACCAACACAAACAGTCAATGATAAATTATGTAAAGTGTATGTAAGTGTGGCAAAGCAATCAGACACCTGACACTTCCATCTTCTGAAAACCAAAAGCAATCAGGGAGATGGGGAGGACAAAGAAAAAAGTCACCTCTTTCCCTTCCCAATCGCAAGCATACAGCTTTAATTAAAGTGGGATCTTCAGAAAAATAATCTCCAATGGCCACTGGCTCTGCCTTACATTTTAAAAATAAAAATCAACTGTCTTGGCTGGAAAGCACAATTTCAACTGTCAATTTCTAATATTTTATGTGCTCGGCAATCGATATACCCATACCCTTTGTCATCAGGACCACAATTAACTAATTATATTAACAGATAGCAGGATAGAAATGGATTACATATCTATCAAGATTTATGATTCCGAAAATTCAAATAACTACGATACTGTAAAATATTGTACAATTTAGATACTCAACTTTTAAATCCTTGAGGTTGTTATTCGTCAATACTTGCTTATAATTATGTTTAACAGTAATTATCTTAACTTCCTACATGAAGTAAATTAAGTACTCTGATCATTAATAAAAGATGTAATTGCTTTAATGATTACTCACATTTTTAAAACACTGATGCTGTCATTTTCTATGACTGTGATAATTTGTTAAGTGTTTGAAAGGATTAAGTTAAAAGAACATCAGTTCTGTGACTAGGAGATACATGAATATCAATCAAATGTCAAGGGGAGGGTATGTGAATGCTGAAAAGAAGCTCCCAAGACGGGTCTGTAAGGCCCTCTGTCTCACTTGAGAATCACATGAAAATACTAGAGAAAGAAGGCTTCACTAAATTTAAAACTGAGACTCTTAAGTTTATAATCAAGTAAAAAAAAAATCATTTTACCTTTTAATGATGACAAATAGAGTTGATATTTCTCTCCGCCACATTTTATTCTCTGACAAAGTTCAGGCAGCAGTTTTTTCCACCACAGAGTCTATCTTAGAAAAAAAAGAATAAATTTTATTTTGATGCATTTTATTCTCAGGTTTCAAATGAGAATAAGAAGATTGTGCAGGAAAGCACAGAGCAAAAATATACCATTTTGGTTAAGGCAATTAATTTTGTTATAACACAAGTTATATCAGCAGCCAGTCTTCTGCCTTAATTATAACATAAAAATAAGGTTTGTAACTTGAAAACCCAATAATACATATATTGTACATATGTACCTGGCTATTTTCAAGAAGTAACAGACATATCCCATTACCATCTCTTATGTGACAAGAGGGAAGGAATGAAGAAAAAAAAGAACTAAGGTCCAAAATTCTTCTAATTTCTAAACTAAAAATCATATGGCAGAGAAAATATTTTCCCATCATACACTGTTTCCCAAATCTTCAGGTAATCAACTACTTCATCTCCAAACAAGAGATTTTTAATGATGGTAATATACCATCTCCATATATTTTAACAGCATTTAATAGTACTCAAAACATATAACATAGTAAATATATATGCTCACTGGACCCACACTGCCCTATGAAGTTGGACTAGCATAAATTATAACCATTTTGCAGGAAAGGAAATGAGGTTATCAAATCTGATTATCACTGATCAAGCCTAAAAACATAATCTGAAAAGCATACCCGGTTCTCTTCTTTCAGTTCATGGTTAGCATATGGAATGACTGCCTCTGGGCATCTCTCTAACAATATGTCTATGCACTGTTCATACTCTTTTAAGCGTGTACGACACAGAACATGGACACTGAGGCCAGCAATAGTGTCTTCTGAAAGCGGCTCCAAGAATGGAATAATGGAAGCTATGTCAAACGAAGGACCACATACAAGAGACTATGAATAGAAAAGTGAAATGTTATGAAATGAGGCACCCCAAAAACTAAAACACAACATACAGAATTCAATTTCTTAAGAAAGACTAAACTTCACTTCCCAAAAATAAAATAGAAAGAATGCAATATCAGAGTACATGCATGTGCTCCTTATTTAATAGATCTAAGTAGAATAAAGTATAATATCATTTTGAAACTAACTCTGGTTTGAAGATCTATTTAATAGAAAGCAAACATTTTTAAATGACATGATTTTATTTGCTTTGTGTGGACTGCAAATTAAAACCAATGGGAATTCTTTAGGACCCTATCCTAAGGAAATAATCAACATTGTGGTGAAAGATTCACGTTCAATGATGTTTACCACAAGAGTATTCACAATACTGAAAATTTAGAAGTAATCTACATGTTAATAAAGGATGAGTAAATACATTATGGCACACTCACATAATGGAACATTACACAGCCATCAAAACTATTTTCAAAGGCTAGTTAATGAAAAAATGCTTATGATAAAATAAGTAAAAAAAATTCAATACAAAATTATATTCTGAACATGACCACTTTTATAAAATCTACATGGGTAAATACACATACAAAAATCCTGTTGGAAGAGCATGGCAATTTGAAACAGCATACTGGATGGGACAACAAAGCCTATTCTTTGTTTTCTTTACACCCGTCCCTGTATTTTCCAAATTTTCTATAATAAGCATGTGCTACATATATATCCAAAAATAAAATTTAACACTTAAGAAAACTGAAGTGATTGTTTAGAACTAATCATTTGTATCGATACCACTTTGTCACATGATGAATGATAGGGAGCAGTATTATCTCAGCATTTACAACTTTACCAATATTTACTTTAAGCAATTAAACTATATATACTACTTTTGATTCTACCGCCAAAATAATCTCCACTTTCCCTTTCTCCAGGATAAAGATGAAATGGTCATGTCCTAATTTTCTTTTCCCTGTATCCTTTCTGCTACAGCATCTTCTGAGACTCACAGGAGAATATGGAATGTAATCTATCCAATCACAGTCAGTGTGATTATTTTATTGCAAATATCTACCAAGGAATGACCAGGAGAATAAGGTTGGTCCCTTTTCTTCCTGCAAGTTTAATAAATTATTCATGTGAATGATTTCCTGACAATCAGATGGCAGAAATGAAATTAGCTGATAATCTCTCACTCAAAGGGTCTCCCAACATGGAAGAAAAGAGATTGTCTCTATATTTAACTCTTCACTAATCCAGATAATGGGGGAGGGGGCAGGGGCAGTAGGAAGGAGCAAGGGATGTATACCAAATCATGACTAAAATGAAACTAGTCATAACTTCTACTATCCATGAACTTTACTTAATTTTATCCATGTAATCAAGAAGCTTGAAAATAAGGCCAGGTGCAGTGGATCACACCTGTAATCCCAGAACTTTGGGAAGCCGAGGTGGGACGACTGCTTGAACCCAGGAGTTCAAGGTTATAGTGAGCCATGATTGCCACAGCACTTCAGTCTGGGCAACAGAGTGAGACTCTGTCTCTTAAAAAAAAAAAAATTATAAAAGTTTAGGCAAACTACATTTCTCCTAGCAAAGATTCCCAGAAAGAATGTACCCTTTTAAAATATTTTAAAACAAATTTTAAAAGATCACTGAATTATATGTTTTCAAGAAATTAGAAATATGCTTTAAAGCTTTATGAGGGCAAATTTAATAGCACTTATTCCAAGTACAATTTTAAATATGTAATTAGTGTATATGTTCTAGGAAGGCTCCACCTGTCTTGTCTACTGCTGCCCATCACATCTATAGAACATGCTCAAGCAATATTTGTGAAATGAACAAAATCTGAGGCTAGGCCCTCAGAAGCCTTTGTATCACAATGGCACTAGAGACAAGAGACAAGAAGAATCTTCTTTGGTTATTTTTTTAAGAAGAGCATAAAAAATGCCATCTCTGGGAACACCACAGCCCCACCTGAAGACTGAGTCTAAGCAATATGGCCTCTTCAGCTTCCATCCTCTAAGCCCCCTTCCCAATTTGACATTAAGTAACAACCACCCTTATACCAGTTCCCATAGTGTAAATGAGGTACTGCAAATTCAAAAGCCTAAAGAGGCCAGTTAAATGATGAGATGCATGAGGGCAGCTGATAAGGAAAACAGACACCCAGCATTTGGGTCAGAATGCCACAAAGATGATAACTGTGTGGGAGGTCAGTGTGAACACTGTCCAAGGAGGGGCTGCAGGTCAGCCCCAACCCTCTGGTCAGAGCAATGAGGGCCTCGGGTTAACAGTTCTGCTGAATTTTTCAAGAGTGACTTGAAGCTCAGAATTCTTAATAGGAAATCTTTTATTTATTTATTTATTTTTTTTTTAATTGCATTTTAGGTTTTGGGGTACATGTGAAGAACATGCAAGATTGTTGCATAGGCACACGCATGGCAGTGTGATTTGCTGCCTTCCTCCCCTTCACCTATATCTGGCATTTCTCCCCATGCTATCTCTCCCCAACTCTTAATTTTTATATGTTAGCAACTACACTGAGAAAACCAAAGAAAACAGATGTGGGAATTACATTCGGTCTTTGGGCCACAGAAGTACGTTAAATAAAATCATATGCTCATGTAGCCCAGTCTGATCCACCAAGTCAAATGTGGACTTCATTTCTCACTGCCAGCCAAAATACTGTTTCAGTCAGAATTATTAAAGGGTGATCCACATTTTCTAATCATCCCATTCATTTTGAAAAATCTTTTTCAGGAACTAGATAAATGGACAACTTTGACCTGTTTCCTATAAGAGACATAGTAGTGCCTGGCTTGGGTTACAGGCCTAAAATGTGTAAGTCAACACTAACAAAAACAAACTACAGCAATAAAAACACTACTAAATATTTGCCACACTTTCATTTCACAAAGTGTTTTCAAGTACATCCTGAAAATGAGGAAAGCAGCCAGGAGACTTGGTGAAGTTCATCCATCCACCTGCAATGAAACCACTGCTCAGCATAGGTGTCCCATCCATCATCAGTTTCAGGAAGAGGCAGGAATTCCCTCCAAGTCTCCTGAGTAATCCTAACTATAAATTTTGTCCTCCAAAATTCTATATTCCAGATTAACAGGACACCTGGGGTCTCACCAAATTTAAATCTTACAGTATATTGCAATATGCATTTTCACAAGAAAAATAGGTATTTTTACTTACCTGTAGTTTTGAAAGATCTTCTGTGTAATTTTTATCAGCTGATGAATCAGATGATATTAAGATGTGAACCCATGGAAAAATTAAGCCATAATGACTACAGGCATTTATCTAAAACATAAAAGAATTTCTCATAAACAAAATATAACAACAAAAGCTTGCTTATCCATTCCACAAAGAGCAAGCAATCATTCATTCTCTGCCATGTCATAGAATTAGGTACACAATTCCCTGGGAATGGAAAGGAAAGGTTTTTTTTAGAATGTATTTCCCTGGAAAATATTTGAGTCTTGCTTGCTTCTACACTAAATACTAAAATTTAAATACTCCAAAGAGGCACTTTCCAGCAAAAACAGCAATATTGCATTTAAGCCAGTTATACCTAAAAAGAATATTGGAAATAATTTTTATTAATACTACCTTCTTTAGAAGGCAAAATATCTTCCATAAATTCTCAAGACAATTCCCAAGAAGCCCCTCTCATTCAAAATGCTGATAACTTTTCCACTTAATCCTTATTAGTCATGGCTAAGAAGCTGGGAGATAAATGGGCTGGGAGCAAGAAGTGTAGAAAGAAGGGTACAAAGAGTTGTTACTGGCTGCCTCGTGCCACAGAACAGCTGCCGTATGTGCAACTGACAGGAAACAGGGGCCCACTAAGGAAGTCTCCCTCCCACAGCCTTCTGCAGTTCCTCTCCTACCAAGGAGGTCTGCAGATGTCTTCTCTCTTATGTACTACTTAATTATCCTCTGCTGAGGAAGGACACAGATGTGGTGATGTTCCGGAAGAAATCCCTTCCTCCATGCTTTAGCAACTGAGCTACCACTGCAAGTAAGTGAGGGACATTCTTTTTTTTTTTTTTTTTTTGAGACGGAGTTTCACTCTTGTTACCCAGGCTGGAGTGCAATGGCGCAATCTCGGCTCACCGCAACCTCCGCGTCCTGGGTTCAGGCAATTCTCCTGCCTCAGCCTCCTGAGTAGCTGGGATTACAGGCATGCGCCACCATGCCCAGCTGATTTTTTGTATTTGTAGTAGAGACGGGGTTTCACCATGTTGACCAGGATGGTCTCGATCTCTTGACCTCGTGATCCACCCGCCTCGGCCTCCCAAAGTACTGGGATTACAGGCATGAGCCACCGCGCCCGGCCCTTTTTTTTTCTTTTTTGAGACAGGGTCTCACTCTGTCGCCCAGGCTGGAGTGCAGTGCGCAATTTTGGCTCATTGAAATCTCCACCTCCTAGGTTCAAGAAATTCTCATGCTTCAACTCCTGTGCAGCTGGAGCAGCTGGGACTTCAAATGCATGCCACCATACCCAGCTAATTTTTTATATTTTTAGGTTTCACCATGTTGGCCAGGCTGGTCTCAAACTCCTGATCTCAGGTAATCCACCTGCCTCGCCTCCCAAAGTACTGGGATTACAGGCATGAGCCACAGCACCTGGCTGACATTCTTAGTGTACAAAATTATTTAAAATGTAGGTCACTTCAGTCATAGACAAATTTTACTTGTATTTTTAACTCCTGCGTAAATAAGATACCTGGTAATAGAAAACTAGATTAGATTTTATAATAAATTATTAAAAATAAGAAGGTACGTTTTTGTAATGGGTAATGTATGAGTTAAATTTAAGGTATTATTCCATTATCTTACCAGATCCTCTGATGTTCTTAATGGTGTGGTGTCAGGAGGCTGCCTCTTAGACAATCTCCAGATGTACTGTGATGTGAGCTTGAAAAAGAGTTCCTGAAGTAACACATCTGGGAGACATGCCACTATCTGAGCTTCCCAAAAGTCTACCAAGAGCTGAGGTGTTGTATCTTCATCCTTAGCACAAAGCACCTTGAAAACAGTAAAAGAAGCCTATATATTACAGATAAATACAGCACTGATAAAGCAACAGCTGGGCTGAATATCATATCATCACATGGGCCGTGTAATTAATAATTTACCATTAGCATTAGTGCCATGGCAAAAGCAAATTTAGGCATTTTAAAAGGAAACAGATTCTAGGTTGTACAAATAAAGTTTTTCCAGATATAGTCTTTTAATACTTTTATCTTATGAACTAATTATGTATTTCTGTTTTTTCAATAAACAAACAAATGAAAAACTCACTTCTCTTATTCTGTCCCTCTCTACCACCAATTTTATGAGGCAATCCAGAAAAATCACATTTTCAAAGTGGCAAACCTTAAAAAAGGAATCTGCTTCTTCAATTCCAATTTTGTTGTTCTTCTGCAAGCCCAGAACTGAAGCCACAAGCAATCCAGGCTGAGTCTCCTTTAGGTGAAGTGCAAGCTCGGTTGGAACAATCTGTCCCTTTTTCTGTTGAATCAACAGCCGAGGTTCCAGAATGAAGCCACATACAAACTTCATCTTCAGATAAAAAAGAAATTTAGAAACAAAAGGTACATTACATTTAGACTGTCCATCTTAGAAATACTAAACATGCTAGTGCATTCACAATGCATGGTTAAGCTATTAATAATTTAATCACAATTTTTTCTTTAGCCTTTGACTAAAGGCTAGTTCTTATGCAAAGACACCACTGACTGTCTTATAGAAGGTACTGGTCAGGTGCAGTGGCTCATGCCTGTAATCCCAACACTTTGGGATGCCAAATCAGGTGGATCACCTAAGGTCGGGAGCTTGAGACCAGACTGACCAACATGAAGAAACTCCATCTCTACTAAAAGTACAAAATTAGCCAGGTGTGGTGGCACATGACTGTAATCCCAGCTACTCGGGAGGCTAAGGCAGAAGAACTGCTTGAACCCAGGAGGCAGAGGTTGTGAGGAGCTGAGATCATACCATTGTACTCCAGCCTGGGCAACAAGAGCAAAACTCCATCTCAAAAAAAAAGGGAAAAAGTTACTAATATTTAAGACTCAAGACATCCTATTTTTTGTAGAGAGCTTTATATTTAGGTCTAGTTGATTTGCAAATAGAGTCAATCTTCCATATCCGTGGGTTCCACATCCATGGAGTCTACCAACCACAGATGAAAAATATTCAGGACGGCTGGGCGAGGTAGCTCATGTCTGTAATCTCAGCATTTTGGGAGGCTGAGGCAGGCAGATCACTTGAGATCAGGAGTTCAAGACCAGCCTGGCCAATATGGTGAAACCCTGTCTCTATGAAAAATACAAAAATTAGCCAGGCACGGTGGTGCGTGTCTGTAATCACAGCCACTTGGGAGGCTGAGGAAGGAGAATCGCTTGAACCCAGGAGGTGGAGGTTGCAGTGAGCTGAGACCATGTCACTGTGCTCCAGCCTGGGCCACAGAATGAGGTTCTGTGTCAAAAAAAAAAAAAAAAAAAGCTGCTTCTGTTCTGAACATGTACAGATTTTTTTTTATTATTCCCTAAACAATGCAGTATTAACAACTATGTTCACAGCAGTTGACATTATATTACGTATTATAAGTAATGTAGAGATGATCCGAAGTATATTGGAGAAACTACATAGGTAATATGCAAATACTATGCCACTTCATATAAGGAACTTGAGCTTCTGTGGATTTTGGTATCTGTAGAGAGTTCTGAAACCAATCTCCCATACATTCTGAGTGATGGTTAATATATCTTAAGTTAGTTTCAAAATTATGAAGAGAAAATTCATTTTTCTAGAATTCTACTCTTCAAAACAGAAGACATCCCAATGTTGATTTGTTCTCATCATAACAAAGCCTGTCCATGTCATTTGTTCGGCGATAAAGCACTTATGTTCTTCCTTTTTTAGCAACCCAAGTCATACTGTGGGCTTTGGCACAATCTGGCAACAAAACAGTGCAGGAGCACAGGTTCTGAAGTCAGTCTGCCTGGTTCAATTCTGGCTTTACCACTTACCAGCTGTGTGATCCTGATGAGTTCCTTAACCTCTCTGTGTCTCAACTGTATAACAGCTTCTACCTTGTAGCATCATTGTTAAGAATTAAATAATATATGCAAGGAGCTTAGCATAGCCCTGGTAAATAATAAGTGTTCAATTACCCTACCTCTTATTTTCTTCCCTGAAATGATGAACACCTTTGGTAGTGTCCCTAAATGACCTCTTTTCCAAGGGAAACCCTGTCTTTCTTGGTACAGCATTCAAATGTCCAATGCTCCATAAAATCATCTGTGATTTTCCAAAGTGGGGGCTATTCCTGAAACTACTAGACTCCTAAAGCTCATGGCTAATATCCCCTTTTCTGTACTTAAATATATATTACTTGGTTCTTTTTCAGTACACACACCATAACCCTCATGCCAGATCACATTATCCCTTTGGAGCAGAGCCTGTTCTTCAGTACCAAGCTCAGTGCTCTGAACACACCTGACACTAAGCTGAAGTACTTGGATATCCACTGCTGCCGTTTATCAATCTTATTTCTTTTTATTTTGCCAGATCCAAAGTCCCACTTGGATCATTTTGTTTCTAATACTGCCTATTTTCCATTACAACTAAGAACATATGAGCTAGAAAGAAGCCAGAAGACAGCTAAACACGTCAGGATTACCAGGTCCTATTTCAGCCTTCTGTTAACACTGGGCAGGGCACCATACCTCTGAATGGCTTTTCATTTCATTTCTGTGCATGTCAAGATCTCCCATTTTCAGAGCCACTGCTGCCTTGGTCAATGTCACTAAGATTGATGAAAACCCAGAAGTATCCAGCTTCCTTAGATAGCTCATGGCAGTTAAAGGATTAATATTCTTCATAGAAGGACTACAGAGAATATGGGGCACTTGCTTTGGCTCAGCCACATAAAACATCTGAACCACTTTTGCTGCTAATTCCTTTGGTGAGCATGAAGAAATAAAAGGAATAAAAGGTCAGTCAGCCAGAAGAAAGCAACAAAATCAACAAAACATATATGTGCAAAAAGCCAAGATACAAACATTCCAAGTAAGATAAAATTATAGGATTATGTTTTAATTTTAAAAAGACAAAACTGATACTGATACATGAGAGGCCTGAGGTAACCTGAAGTGATCTCCTTTGCTGATTATAATGAAGAAAAAGCAATAAAAGTATGTACCAGGTTATGACCAGCATTTCTCATTTTAACACTTCAGAAGAAAATAAATATCTGATTAATTTACAACAAAAATCCATCACAGAAACTGCTTAGTTCAAAATATACCCAATTAAGTAATCTATATGAGAAAACTTCATTTCTCTCAAAACCTTGCAACATTTGATACCACAATTTCCAATCCGGCATATTTGCATCCAACTATGTTTAAAATACATGAGGGGTTAAAAATAATCTTTTCTTTTCTCTCTAAGACAGGGTTTTTCTGTATTGCCCATGGTGGAATGCAGTGGTGTGACTGTGGCTCCCTGCAGCCTGAAATTCCTGGGCTCAAACAATCCTCCTGCCTCAGCCTCCTGAGTAGTGGAACTACAGGTGCATGCCATTAAGCCCAACTAATTTTTTAATTTTTTGTAGAGATAGGGTCTTGCTATATTGCCTAGGCTGGTTTCACATTTCGGGCCTCAAGTGGTCCTCCCACCTCGACCTCCCAAAGTGTTGGAATTACAGATATTAGCTACTGTGCCCAGTCCTAAAAACAATCCTTAATAATGTCTTAAGGTCACTGGACTAAGGCCAGAGTTTTGTAAGTGAAGTATTGGACGCTTGGAGTAAGAGACAACTAGGGTTTTGGGAAGGACTACAGATGAGAAGATGGAAGGCAAGGCCCGCATTCTGTGTAGCTCTTCTGAGGATGTGCTGCTGTCACTGGGCAGGTGTTGAGACTACAATAGACCATATGTCCCTGTCTGTATAATGAGAAAGCATGAGAAGATTACCCATAAGTTCTTTTCCAAGCTATACTACCATCTTCATTAATGTAGAAAAGGGTGCATTTCTTTTTTAGAAAAAGAATAATATCAAAGAAGAAAAATATTTGGAACCTGATTTATAAACAGTACTCCATAAAATAAATCTCTAAAATTAAAAGTTAAAAATATTAGATATAAAATAGAAAACCATAATCACTTCACTTAATTCTTCATCCAGGTTTTCATAAAGTGAATGATTAATATAAAAGATTAATCCCTTCTCATATTTCTGTAATCCATCTTCTACCGTCCAGTCCATGCGGCCCAGAACTTCAGCCATAGACAAACCGGACATCTTATAGTATGGCAAGGTGAGATGAGAATGCTGGGAGTCAAGCCTAAAGGGAAGGAAATTTTTAAAATCTGAAATTCGTCATTTTTTTTTTAAAAGACGGGGTCTCATTATGTTGCCCAGACTGATCTCAAACTCCTGACCTCATGTGACCATCCTACCTCAGCCTCTCAAAGTGCTGAGATTCCAGGTGAGAGCCACCATGCATAGTCAAATTTGTCATTTTTAAACCTGGATATCGAACACATTCTATAATAGAATATATCATGCTTTCCAGAAGACATGAATTCCAAAATGCTTTTCTACTGCCATTAGTAACTGAAACAAACTCCTAAGTTTTATTTTACAAAGTTCTAATTCATGCAGTTTCTTTTTGTCTGCTTACGATAGAAATGAAAATAACAATTTCTAATATTCATGATCAGAATCTAAAATAATGGTGTTTATAGGAGGAAAAGTCTGTTTTATTAATTTTTAATCATTCATGTGGATCAAGTAAGTCTGAAAACAATCATATGCAAAAAAATTTGTAAACGTTACTTTCAAAAATAAAAACACTATTTATACTAGTGTCCCTTTCTGACATCATAAAAGCACTGACTACTAAGATTAAAATCACAGACTGTCTAACTGGCACCTCTCCCTTAAGCTAACAGACAATAGACTAGTCGTACAGCTATATCAGGGATTTTCAAAGCCTGAGAAAAATGTCAAAGTCCTAAGTTAAGTGGTGGGAAAATCACAAACTTGAGACTTACTGCTCATCTTCTAAACTGTGACTCCCTAGAAGCAGGAAATGGGTCACATTCACTTTTGTATGGAAGTCTAGCACAGTACCTAACAGCATATGTGCTCAATAAATGCTTGTGGAAGAAGTGAATAAATGAACTACCTCACCTCATGCATTCCTCCATTTATCAGAGATGGAAAAGCAAACAAGTGCACCCAAAGTTCAAGATGGCTTCTGTAACAAGGTTGCAAGAGGTGTCACCCACCTGCTGTAACAGTCCCCAAGGTGCCCACAGCTTTCCTTAAATGCTTCCAAAAGCTCTGCTTTCTCTCCAGGTTCCAGTTGACTGGCATCCATCAGGGCAGCTCTCACTAACAGATGAGCCTCACTGAGAAGGTGAATGCAGCTCTGGGTTTTGGCAGTTTTATAGGTATTGCTATAGTCTATCTAAAACAAAAACGACAAACACTAATGTTGCTGAAGAGAGACTCCCAAAAGTTCCTCAGTTCTTAATAACATTTATATATTTTGTTAGTAAAGTTAACATTTGGATATATTCAACCCTAAAAGTAAACAAAGTGGTTATTTACCATTCTGACAAGGGCTTTGCCGAAGGGCTTTTTTTCCCACTATCTATAAGCCAGTTGAATACATACAGGATTATAAATACTACCCTGTTAAACAGCTCTAATCATTAGAGAGGTCCAAATAATATCGTAATACTAATAATACTGTTAACTTAGCAACAATTTGATCTCAATAAGACTAGTGAACACATTTAATATTTAAAATAGTTTAAAAAGTTGTGATTTAATTCTTTCTCAAATTTAGCCTGAATATTCTTCCCTTATTTTAGTTTCAGTTGGTAAGTTTAGGTTCTACTACATCTATTTCCACAACTCACAGAGGGCTCATAAAAATTATCTCGAGCTAATCTGACTCAATCAATATATTCAAGACTCTAGTAGTCAAATCATCTAAATGAAGACTTTCAGTTAAGCAACACTGAAAAGACAGGGCACAGCTGATATAATAATTGGCATTAAATTACTGGTAGGGACAAATCAGGCAACCTTGTTGACCTGATGATCAAAATTAATATCACCAAAGACGGGCAGATGAACAGCATGTGCCTCCAGATGTGATGCCCTTAACACAAAAATCACCAATGCAATATTCTGGCTGAAAATGCATAATCCTGAATCTAACCATTAAAAAAAATCAAACCTTAAATAAGGAATACTCTCAAAATAAAAGGAGAAAATTATATTTTTCAAAAATGCCCATGTTATAAAATATAGTGAAAGGCTATAGAAATATTCTAGATTCAAGGAGGCTAAAGAGACATCCTAGTTAAATACACTACCTGATCCTAGACTAGGTTTTGAACTAGAGGAGAGGAAATGCTATTAAACTAGTGGGTCAGTTGACAGAATTAGACTATGAATCATAAATCAGATAAAGCACTATGTCAATGTTAAACTAATTGAGGCCTACTACTGTACTGTAGTAGTGCAATAGAGTATCCTGATTCTTAGAAAATATATACTGAAGTACTTAGGGGCAAAAGACTGTGACGTATGCAGTTTACCTCCCAAAGAATCAGAAAACAGTGTATATATGTGTACAGAAAGCACAGAGTGCATAAAAGAGAAAGAGAAAGATGCAAATAGGGTAAAATGTTGATTATGGGGAAATCTGTGTGAGGAATGTGAATATACAGAATATTCTTCTTTTTTAAAAAAGAATCAAAAGAGTAAGGATCTTGCTGTGTCACCCAAGCTGGAGTCCAGTGGTACAATCATAGCTCACTGTAGCCTTAAACTCCTGGGCTCAAGTGATATTCCCATCTTAGCTTCCCAAGTAGTGAGGACTACAGGTATGTGCCACCATGACCGGCTAATTTTTTTATTTTTTGTACAGTTGGGATCTCACTATGTTACCAAGGCTAGTCTCAAACTCCTGGCCTTAAGCAATCCACCTGCTTCAGCCTCCTAAAGTGCTGGGAAGAATATACTTATTCTTGCAACTTTTCTGTGAGTTTGAAATTGTTTCAAAATAAAGGGTTAAAATAATTGCCAGGGATGAGTAGGAAGCTATCACTACTTATATCAGGAATGAGGATGCTCACTCTGAGTCCCTCCTCACAGGACAATGCTAAAGTAGCTGTAGCGCCCCAGGACAATCTGCTAGTATTTCTAAGTAAGAAGAGTGGGACAGGGATAAATGATCCTAGATTTTTTTTTTTGTTCAATTTCTTAGCTATCTTTGCTAGGATTCAAAATTAAGGTCAAAGACTATGTTTAGATTGACCAATCGATCCTCTTAGGAGAATGAGTATGAGTAAGGGAGTCTTACTGGTTCCTTGGATGTCAGAAGCTGTAAAAATGAAGAGGAAGAGAAAGATACACACTTCACTGTCACACAAAGCCAGGAAGCTGAATGGCTGTGGCATCCTGAATGTATGATAATTGTAATCATTTTCTGATCATAATTTCACTCTAAATATCTGCAAATAAGAATCGGAAGTTTGAAGAGTACCATCTCTTTGTATAGTTGCACTGGTGAGATCGTATTCACAATATACAAATTCCACCCAGCCTCAGCTACAGGAGGTATTTTGATCTTAACACCGGTATCTTTTCTAGAACTAAAAGCAAAACAAAGGACAAGAATTTTAAAATGACATGATTAATAAATGGTACTTATAAATGGTAAATATTGGATATAAAATAACAAATCATTTTCATTTACTATTTTCTTCAGTGATTAACTGTACACTCCATTTTTATGAAATATTAGTTCACAATACTACATAGGCTTACTGCACTTAATATTCTGTAATTATCATGTAATGATAAACCAATTCCTTCCAATTCTCTCCACAAGTATTCTAAAATGAGCAAGAAGTTCAAAGAACAGGCAAGTCCTATCAAAAAGAAAAGATCCTTGGCTGTGAAAATGCCTATGCCCAGGCTCCTTTCTGCACTTGGCCTTCATGTGTCTAGCATGCCCTATGCCATAAATCTAAGCAGAAGCAACATCATGGCTGCTAAGAATATGCTGAAGACACATGTCTGCTTAAAGCACCATCTTATCTCTTACTTTCACTATGTGATGCATTTTCTTTAGTGTACATTCTTTTAAAATTGTTTATCAAATTAATTTTCAAATGAATTAGAAATTTTAAAAGATCATTTAAAAATTATACTATTAGAATGTCAAATGTGCAAGACTACAAACTGCTTTTCCTCTCGCCAGGAAGCTTTTAGGATCACTCAGCCCTAGACCACTCTGTGTACACTCAAAGCTATCAGTTACCAAAGTCAACCTCTGATTCCTGTTCATGCAACAAAGCACAGCCACTAACAATTTAAAAAAGTAAAAATTTATGTTAAAAATAACCTATTGTTGGGCCGGGCGCAGTGGCTCACACCTGTAATCCCAGCACTTTGGAAGGCCGAGTTGGGCGGATCACAAGGTCAGGAGTTCAAGACCAGACTGGCCAATGTGGTGAAACCCCATCTCCACTAAAAAATACAAAAATTAGCTGGGCATGGTGGCTCATGCATGTAATCCCAGCTACTTGGGAGGCTGAGGTAGGAGAATTGCTTGAACTGGAAGCCGGGAGGTGGAGGTTGCAGAGAGCCGAGATTGTGCCACTGCACTCCAGCCTGGGCTACAGAACAAGATTCCATCTCAAAA